TTATTTCCATAATCCGAATCTGACCGAACAGCACCTATCCAAGTCCAGCCAAAGTGTTTCACTAGCTTGGCTAGTGCTTCAGCTTGAATCTGGTCACTGGGGATTGTTCTGAAGAAACTTGGGTACTGCTGCTTGTCAGACAAGCATGCACATGTCGAAAAGTGGCTAACCTAAAACAAAAGAAATAAAACAGTGTAAATGTAAAAGAACCGCAAAATCAAATATCATGCACATGCTTAATGCAAATACAAAAATTGACAGAAATTGGAAACATTTACTTGGGGAATGTTAAAGGCCCTGATGACTTGTGACAAACTGATGGATGTCGTAGACCCAGAGTCCCCAACAACGGCCATCACCATACCAGATTGTGAGCAATTGTTACCGATGTAAAACACAGGGTCGAAGCTATTTAGAAACTGAAATGCCACATGCACTGCCACAGCCACTGATGCACATGAGTCATAGATCTGATACCCGAGCCTAATTCCGGGCAGCAGCTCTGTGCTGTTGTTTATCTCTTCTATGGCAAAGACCATTGCACGTAATGATTGCAGTTCACTGGTGATGATGCTGCAGAAAGTCAACTCACTGTTAGAAATTAAACTACAGACTTAGGTTAAATGTCACAAGAAAACATTGTAGGAGTTGTGGGTTTTTACCATGGCCAGATAATGACTTCATTGTATAAGGGTACTTCAGCACATTGTCTGACCAGTTAAATTCAGCAAAAATGATTATCATGATTAGAAGATCACAAACATCTATAAATAAATATGCAAAGGCTTGTCATTTCCTGTTCAATTTTTTTTAAATTGTTGTTTAACAATATGATTTCTGTTTTCAAAATACAACTATTACTTCCAAGAATATAAATGACTGACTATTGGAATACTTTTCTTGTTGGGGTTTTTTTCAGCACCACACAAGAGCAATGTAATACTACAGAACATAAAACATGTGAAAATAGTTTTATTTTTAGACAGTCCAACATGTTTTGAGCACTCTCTT